GTTCCTCTCTGGTCTACTCAACACCCTACCGAAGTAGGCCACCACATGTTCGTTTTCGCCCACTTTCTGAGACAACCCTCCAATTCCGACATTACTAGCATCACAATCCAGTATGTACGGCAGTGAGGGATCTGGAAGCCTTAAAAGTGGAGCAGAAGCCAATTTTTCCTTCAACATCTTGAAAGAATGCTGGCAAGAAACTTTCTATTCGAACTTCTGGCCTTTTTTAGTCAAATCATGTAGTGGAGCAGCTATAGTTGCAAAGTCCTTCATAAACTTGCGGTAGTAAGTACAGAGTCCGAAGAAACTTCTTAGCTCTCCCACATTGTCTGGTGTTGGCCAGTCATGCACTGCTTTCACCAGGATCAGTTTGTACACCATTCTCACTAACAATGTGGCCTAAGTAAAGCACCTCTTTCTGGAACAAATGACATTTCTTGGGATGGAGTTTGAGGTTTGCTGCTTTTGTATTGCTGCCATCAAGTCTGCTGAGCTGTAGTTTGATTTTCCGCCACTCTCGTTTTCATTTTTTTTTCGTTCCACTTCTGACACCAATTTGTTACGTCTCCGTTTGTTAATTAGTTTTCCGTAACTTCGTTCCGACGAAACTTTATCGACACAAGTCCTTTCTTAATAAAACTGGTTTATTCTTTCCGAATATAACTTTACGATACACTTAATTTGAACAATCGCGCTAAAACAAACGTTAACTTCAACAATACTCTCTGACTGCAAATCAATTACTCACTGTCTACACACATCTTGTTCCGTCGCGTGAGGGTAATACACAAGAAATACACAGGATATTGGAGCTGTTTCTGACATGCTGAAGTGTCACCACAATGTATTTCTTCCAAATGTAGTTTCAAAGTGCTACCACTAAGCTGTTAGTGATAACAGAACCAAGAATAGAGAAGTGTATCAATACATTAACAAATGAATGGGAAACCACATGAAAATCAACAATGGTAGAGTTCACAGTCACATGTACATTTATTATTACATATTTATTTCAGGTTAGTTTGTGTTCATCTGGAAACATTTTTACTTGTAAAAAATGAAAGTTGCTCTACTTATTCTTTTTGTTACCTTTAAGCTATAGAGAAAGAATAATACCGTAGTATATTTTAATAGATTGAAGTTGTTTTTCTGGCTCAGTTGGCAAATTTTACTTTGGTTTAGCTTTCACTTACTCCTCCAGCAGTGTGCACTTTTGTATTTGTCCGGAAGCATTTTGAAAATACAGAATATGATTTCACAATAACTTTATGTTGTCTATGCAGACAGAAGCAAGAGAAAGCATTTTCTATCATTTTTAAGGTGATCAGCATTGATTAAACAACTCGTCTGGGCACTTTTATATTGGTCCGGGTTTTAACAAGTCTCGATTTTAAGAGTACTTTTTAATTTGGCATTGACTCATAAATCTTAAAAGTAAAAATACAGCAATGAGGATAGTATTAGCAAACATTAAATAAATACTATTTGATGTTAAATTAATTATATTTTTTCCCATCTTTGTATATTTCTGCTGATAATGTTTTAATATTTGATATCATTCTTATAAATAAAAATCAGTTTCTGTTGTCTTTGTCTACTTTCATCCATAAAGTTAACTGACCCAAAGCATAGTGAATCAAGTACAAAACGACAACCATGTACAAATATGTCATTACTCCATAACTTGCAACTGCAAGTATCATGTAGCTTTAATTTTAAGCCTCATACAGAAGTTTTCCTTTATACTTAAATTAAGTTTACCCAATGTCCAAGTAAGTGAGAATGTAGTAGTATCTGCAGGTCTAAAACTAGTAATACTAATAGTATGCTTATGCACACCCTCTTATTCTCAAGTCATAATTCAAACGTCATTAAAATTACAATATTATTATTAATATTTTAATTTTTATGACACTTTAATTTAATCGGAACTGAATTATTTTAACACTTTTACTGAGATCTTACATTCATGTACTGATAGTGATATTGTTCATAACTTATTTCCTCTTTCATATGTATTCATAATTAAGTTGATTATAATTTCCTGAGTCAAACACCTCAAGTTTAGCCTAACAGTAACACTAATAGTAATACTACTAACACTTACCCAAAATACAACATTAAAAAAGAAAAGACTGTACTTTACATATGAACTAACATATGTAAAATCGTCCGAGCGTCTTGAATGTCGACCCATTTAAATCATAAGATATTACAAAGTAACACTACAGAAAATAAAGTAAACTCAAACCAAAATTTGCGTTTACTACACAGTTATCTTTATATTGCTGACTCGAAGGTATAATAAAACCCGGAATCGGAAAGGCGTAGGTCGGAACGCAATAATGTCATGTAATTACAATCTCCTAATTCCATGAATTTTGAGCAAAACGATTTGTATGTTTATTTGTTTTTTTTAGCGTAAAGCTAAAAAATAGTATTATCTGCACTGTCCACAGCAGGGAATTGAGCCCGGAATTATAGCGTTGTATAAACTCAAGCAAAATGAAATGTGATAAATAAATAAATATGGTTACAAAACGTCTATTACCATAAAACAGTAAAAAGCAGCAGCATTATTATTAGCTAATAATTCCGACTAGAAGTTGAGAGAAGTTTGTTTGTTTGTGTATCAGAGAAATAAAATCAACGTTTAATAGTACATATTGAATTAAAAATGAAATTATCTCCGGCTTCAAAATATAATAATACATTGTTTTATTTTATAATTATACTTTGTAAAGGCTTTGTTATATTGCTGACGTCATGTTAGTAGAATTTTCGGTATATTTCTCTTATATATTTCCTTAAGTGAGTATTGTTACATCATTGTGTCTCGGAGTTTGTAGAAAGTTTTAGGCCACCGTTAGGCGGTTTATATATATTGTTACGACAGCGGAAGTAACGCGACACTGGGAGCATGCGCGTTGGAGTTTCTAGAAGGATCATGAAGGCCCGACTGCATTCGAGTTGCCCTCTTTTCTAACATATAAGCCTGGCGAGCAAAACCAGTGCAATCGGCAGATAGATTGAAGAAATAGACAATTGAATCAAGTGAACAGTAGGCACCATAAGTAAAGTGTGTGAATCATCGTGATTTATAGCGTGTGTTATAAAGGTTGTTAAGTTTAAAGTGACTGTGGAAATTCTGTGTATTACAAAGTTGTATCGAGAAAGAATAAATTAGTTTTAATTAAGAAAGGACTTGTATCGCTGAAGCTACTCAGAAAAAATTTATACTGGAAATTAACAATCAAGCAAATGCGTAACAAATTGGTGTCAGAGAGTGGGACCAAAAAGAAAGACGGAAACCAGAAGAGGCAAATCAAACTACAGTTTAGCAGATTTGATGGCAGCAATACAAGAACAGCAAAAGAAACAAGAAGAACGAGAAAAAAAACAAGAAAACCTGCAACAGTGGAGGCTTGAACAGCAAAATAAACAAGAAGAGAGATTACAGCAATTGTTGGAGAAAAAAGAAGAGTGAGAAAATAAACAAGAAGAGAGACTACAGCAGTGGTGGAAGGGAAAATAAAATTAACAAAAAGAGAGACTACAACAGTGGTTGGAGTAGAAAAAAATTAAACAAAAAGAAAGTCTCTAACAGCTGAGAGAAAGCCAGCATACACAAATGGAAAATATTAGTAAATTTCAAAGTGAATTAAATACATTAAATGACGATTTACTGTCTTTTACACAGGGAGATATATTAGCCATACACCTAATCAGTCCTAGAAATCAGGAAGCCCCTTCCAGATCCCGCAGCTAAACCCTAATGCAGACATCTTCAGTCCTGCCAGAAGTCACATTCCAGGCATGAGTGTCAGCAACAGGGGTGATCTAGTACGAAGAAAGCCACAGGAATTCAATGGGAAGGCACCATGGGAAGCATATTGTTGCGTCAGCGAGGTCACGTGACTAGTGTCACGCCACCTCTCGAACCTTCGGGAATAGTCGGGAGATTACTAGATATAGGGTAGTCTGGTATATATATAAGAGGGTGACAACAAAAGATATGCATTCTATTTTAGATGTATGGGGTTTATGCAATAAACATTTACTGAAGCAAATTTATGTTTTTTCAGAGATAATGGCCTTCTGTTGTGTACTTACTGCTTTCCTCCCATCTTGCAAAATGAAAAATAAACCCCAAAACAAATTCCAGAAAATTCAAACAATTATATAAACCTAAAACAAAGAACTCTACCAATAATACATGAAAGGGTTAAGGAAGTATTGAATACCTTTACACCTTGAAGTGTGTCATTGTTCTTATAAAACAATTACAAAAGATATGCATTCTATTTTAGATGTATGGGGTGAGGGTATAGAATACCTTTACACCTTGAAGTGTGTCATTGTTCTTATAAAACAATTACAAAAGATATGCATTCTATTTTAGATGTATGGGGTGAGGGTAATACACAAGAAATACACAGGATATTGGAGCTGTTTCTGACATGCTGAAGTGTCACCACAATGTATTTCTTCCGGAAAGGGTTAGGGAAGTATTGAATACCTTTACACCTTGAAGTGTGTCATTGTTCTTATAAAACAATTGATTATTTATTATTTAGGTTATTATACTACATCATTCTTTTGGTTTGTACTTAGCTGAAAATTCAGCACATAGTCTTTGCAGGGAATATTTAAACCTCAAATATGCAAATGTTCCAAATAGAAAATAGCTGAGGCCTATGCTTCTGAATACTAAAAAAAAGCCTTTGGAACTGTCAAGAGAAAAAGGATGTTACCGTATACTGATTTTGAAGTGATATCTGAACCAGTGCTGCATTCAACATACCATGTGACACATACCATGTTTTTTTAATACTTACTTTAAATTAAGAAATTAAATAACGTATAATACTAAAATTTGAATTACAATCTACAGTTTGATACCAAAATTATTGACACAAAATTCATAAAATAGTAGAAAATAAAATTTTAAATGCGAGTCTACAAAAGCAACGACATGGCCTTGACCAATGACCCGTGTGGAAAGGGTTAAACAGCTTTATTATATTTGATGTTTGTGGTGTCCAAATGCAAAGTCTATAGTTTTATGCAAATTAGGAATGCAAATTACTGAGATTGACAAGCTAGAGTATAAAATAAGAACCTTCTATCTTTTCTACTTGCCGAGATATCGCTCATATACTGAATCAAACACAGTGGCCCCGCTAACCTCTTTCCATTTTTGGTAATGCTCCATTCTATGACTTGTGAATAACCAATCAAAAGTTGAGTCTTTAGTCTGCTCAAAATTTAGTTACTAAG